ATAAAATCAGGGTTGCCTCTATATTTTTGCTAATTCAGTGAGAATCTTCGCTTATCAAAATGAGGGCTGAAGTGAATAACTCGAGAGTGGTTTAACTGAAAAGATTTTTGTAATCATGGTCAGAAGAAAACGGTACTGTTATCAGAACTTGCCATATCAGGCTAGGGGGTATTGCACAATTTAAGACCCAAACGTGACTGACAGTGTGACCCTGATAATTATTTACAACACTGCCCCTTCTTTCTGCAGGACCCACACTTTTTCTGTTGGTTTAACCTAGTTGTAAACAGGATAACATTTTTTCTGCTGATGTACCACTTGCTGAATTAGAATCCCGTGTCTCTGAACCTACAGTTTCTGAATGCGGTTATCGGGATACTTGCATAATGGTTACGAGCATGGAATAGTTTGAGAGATGGAGCCATGAAGCAGGCTGAATGCCTTATTCAGGAAATCAGACTGGGAGATAAAGTAAGACAGTATTTGATTTGCTGGTATTTGTTTGTCCCAGCTACTCTTCACATTACCTAAGAGAGAATGCAGTAAAAACGAAGTCTAACAGAGCACTCAGATCCAATCCAGAGAACTGAATATTAATCCTGGAACCATCGAGTATCTGTAGGATTTAGGAAAATAAAAGCTTTGCCACTTTAAGGGTCCATTTTCCATTATTTAACAAAATGTGGCGAATGCTTTTTTGTAAAACAATAGACATAAGTATATTTCAAAATAAAACTTGAAAAAAAAAAAACTATAGCCATAGGGCTAGGCACAGTTGGGCACGCTTGTAATCTCAGCAGTTTGGGAGGCCAAAGCAGGAGAATTGCCTGAGTCTAGGAGCTTGAGACCAGCCTGGGCAACATACTGAGGCCCCATCTCTACAAAAGATTTTAAAAATTAGGTAGGCACGGTGATGCGCGCCTGTAGTCCCAGCTACTTGGGAGGCTAAGGCGAGAGGATTGCTTGAACCCAGGAGTCAGGATCTGCAGGGAGCTATGATCATGCCACTGCACTCCAGCCTGGGTGACAGAGCAAGACTCTATCTCATATAAAGAAATAAATAGTATAGTCATAGGTTTTTAATCAAGTGCTTCAGTCTCACCTAGAGTTTGGGGAATGTCAGGAGGAACGGTAGTTTGCAAAGCAGCCACCTTTAATTAGAGAAGCTGCCTGCACACTTAGCCTTATCAGGCAGCGGGGATGCAAACAATAGAACAGGGCTTCCCACAGTGAAGCACAGAGAGCTACAGGGATGATGCTCCGGAGAGTTCTCAAGGAAAAGCGATGCTTAGAATAAGTGAAGTGAAGTTCCTGTGTATTCAGTGTGCCCTCAGTTTTGCAGAGGGAGGGAGAGGAATGGGATTCCTGCATCAAGGCTAAGAGCACGGACTGTTTGGGCTCCCTCACTTCCTTGCTGGGTGGCCTGGGCTGACTTACTCTGTCCTTTTCTGCCTCAGTTCCTGCATCTGTACAGTGAGAATAATAGTGTCCATCTCAAAGCATCGCTGTGAGAATTGAGAATGTACGTGAAGCACTTTACACAGTATCTGGGCACCTAGAAGCACTCAGAAAAAGGGAATATAAAAATATGTATAGAAAATAAGCTCTTAGTTACTTCCAGTGACTACTGATTTCTCTTTTTTAATTTTTATATTTTATTACAACTTTTAAAGTTCCAGCAGCAAAAAGGCACTACTTTTGTTTTCCTTTTTTTTTTTTTTTGGAGACAGAGTCTTGCTCCATAGCCCAGGCTGGAGTGCAGTGGCATGATCTCAGCTTACTGCAGCCTCCGCCTCCTAGGTTCAAGCGATCCTGCCTCAGCCTCCCTAGTAGCTGGTATGACAGCCAGGCGCCACCATACCTGGCTAATTTTAATATTTTCAGTAGAGATGGGCTTTCACCATGTTGGCCAGGCTGGTCTCGAACTCCTGACCTCAAGTGATCTGCCCGTTGGCCTCCCAAAGTGCTGGGATTACGCCAACACACCCAGCCCAAAAAGGCACTCCTTTTCTAAAACCAATTTTATTAAAGGTATGTATATATGAAGTGACAGTACCCTGTACTGAGTGAGTGGTGCTAGAAAAGGTGCTGGCTGGGGAAGGATCTGCAGGATTATATATTTCAACTGCCATGTTTTAAGATGAGGAAACCAAGGCCCAGAATGACCACCTCCACAGCGAGCTGACACTAGAAGCCAGGTGTCCAGACTAGGCAGGGATGAAAGCACTGGACAAAGCATGCCTGTCTGGCACTAATCACTGGGTACACAGTAATGACATGAACCGAGGGAATGAGGAGAAGGGACAGGGCCTGTAAAGGATGGAAAGAGTCAAAGTGACTTCAAGGCTTCAGGTTTGGGGGCTTGGAAGGATTGAGACTGAAATGGGCAGTTACTGAGAGAAGGGGTTTTGATGTGAAGAAGAGCACGCATTTGGTTTTGAATGTTGTCAGCCTTGAGAAATATCCGAGCAGGTTTCACCTACGGACAGGCTAAGATCTAGGCCTGGAGCTGAGTATCAGGCAGGATCAGGAATAAAAACCTAGGAAAAGATTTCCCAAAATTAAAAGATGAAGCGGTATAAACATACTTTTCAAAGTCCAAAGAATAGACCACAGTGGAAAATACCAAAGGGTCAAAGGATGAGTGGAGAGGGCAAGTCAAAATTAAAATGGGGAGAAGTGCCATCTAAGAAGAGGAAGATTGGGGCAATAAAGCTGAGGACTCGGTTTCAAGGTGGGCTCAACTATCCACAGCCTGAAATTCAGGAAGGAGGTCAGTAAAAATAAAGCTGGAAAAAGAAAACAAGCGTCTTTTGAATTAGACTAGGAGAAAGTCACTGTGATTAAAAAAGCAGTGTTAGAGATGGGAAATGAAGCGGCCCGAATCTTTTTTTTTTTTTGAGACAGTCTCGCTTTTGTCACCCAGGCTGGCATGCCAGGGTGTGATCTCAGCTCACCACAACCTCCATTTCCCAGGTTCAAGCGATTGTCCTACCTCAGTCTCCCAAGTAGCTGGGACTACAAGTACGAGCCAGCACGCCCTGCTAATTTTTCTATTTTTAGTAGAGACAGGGTTTTGCCATGTTGACCAGGCTGGTCTTGAACTCCTGACCTCAGGTGATCCGTCTGCCTCAGCTTCCCAAAGTGCTGGGATTACAGGCGTGAGCCACCGCACCTGGCTCTTATTCAATAATTTAGACTGGGAAATAAAGTAAGAACGTGTTTGATGACAGTGGAGACAGACGGCAGAGCAAGGTAATGGCTTATTCAAGATGAAGGACTCCATGAATATTTGAAAGCAGAACAGAAGAGATGAAGAAGGAGATTAAAACTTTCGGGAGGCAGAAGATAGAGCTTGGGTAAGGGTCCTCAGGAGGCAAAAAAGCAAAAGCAAGAGAACAAGGCAAGACTGGAATCACTAGGATTATATCCCAAGGCATCTCTCCTTCTTGTTACTTGAATGTTTTGAGTTTTAAGTATTTTGGAGGTTTGGGAAGTCTTAGGCTATTAACAAGGACCTGAAAATTCCACTTATGTATTTCTTGTTTTCTAGAGGAAGCAAATCATGGCAAACTGGGGATGGTAACCTTTTCTCTTGGTGCAGTGTGGTTGAAACCTCACCACAGTATTTAGCACACTGGTCATTACATCATTGCTTGTGTTGCTTTTTGCTGAGTGTGATTCTTTCCTAATGGACTCTATGACGGGAGCACCCATATGTGATCTTTTGACCACTGAATCCCAGTAATTTGTACAGTACCAAACATACAATAGGAGCCCAATGAATATTTGTTAAATGGATGAATAAAGGAATCAGTGAATGAGCAGCCTCTCCCACAGAAAGGAAACTCATATTCAGGGAGATGACGCAGGATTTACCTTATTCAATCAGGCAGGTTAGCAAACACATAACCTCTTCAAACACTGTTTGGTAAATGGCCTTGAGTTATTTTCTTCTTTTTTTTTGCAGGGGAGCTGTTGCGGGACAGAGTCTCATTCTGTCCCCCAGACTGGAGTGCAGTGGTACAATCTCGGCTCACTGCAACCCCCACTGCCTCTGTTCAAGCGATTTTGTGCCTTGGCCTCCCAAGTGGCTGGGATTACAGGTGCCTGCCACCACACCTGGTTAATTTTTGTATTTTTAGTAGAGATGGGATTTCACCATGTTGGCCAGGCTGGTCTCGAACTCCTGGCCTCAAATGATCCACCTGCCTTGACCTCCCAAAGTGCTTGGATTTACAGGCATGAGCCACCCCACCTGGCTTGAGTTTGTCTTGGATGCCTTTCTAGTACTTAAAAGACAAATTACACACCCCAAAGCTATCATAGAAGTTCCTAGAAGAATCTGTCCCTTGAATGTAGATTCAAAGCAAATTTAAACAGAGAATAAGTGGCATACAAAATACTGACTTTCTGTACTGACTTAATGGCAGTTTGCTTCTTTTCCTATCTGTAAAATGGTAACGGGTGCTTTGAAGGTATTTAAGATTGAAAAGCACTTAGGGTCTAATACCTTTATTGTTCACTACAAGTATTATCTCATTCTTTACTTCCTCCAAAAGTTTAATTTCCAACTTCGTAAAATATTTTGATTGTGATGCAACTGGGTTACTCAGTAGGCTTATCTTTTTGTGGATTTTCTATCTAAAATCCTTACTACGTACCAAAAACAAATAAGCTTCAGGATTCAAGTGGCACAGTGCATGGAATGAACACCATCAATATTTGCTGATTGACTGAATAAATCATTCTTTAAGAAAAAAAAGTGGCCTCACTGCCGCCATTTCTTTTCACCCTATATCAACTTTGTGAGATGGCTGTTACCCATCTTTAACAGACGAGAAATCTTAGGCTCAGGGAAATTAAGTTACTTGCCCAGCACCACCCAGCACCAGCAACTCAAACCTGAGCTGTCTGATGACCCAAGCCTCATCATTTCTTTTACCTGCTGCTTCTAACTTGGACTTTATCTTCTTTCTTTCTTTTTTGTTTTCCACCAGGAAAAGATGAACACAAGCCCTTGAGAGAGTGGTTTCTCATTGTGCTTATGGCAACCATCTGCTTCATCTTGTTAATTCTCTTGCTCATCTGTAGAATGTAAGTATTTGGGTACCTGCAGTGGGGTCTGAGTACTGCATTTTTACAGGCTTACCATGCCTCCGGTAGGCAGAAGGTTCTTATTATCTGGTAAAATTATGGTATTTTTGTGCCTGGATGACCTGTCCAAGATGAGTGTAGGTCAAATCAAAAGTGGAAACATCAGAGGTGATTTACAGAAGTTGGACAGAGCACAACGCAGCCCTCGGCTATCACTCACTCCTACTTGAAGTTGTCGACAGCTTTTAATATCTGTGAAGGTTTCTACTTGCAGGTTCTTTTGATTCCTTCTCAGTCTTCCACTCAGTCCTTGGCTGTCTTGGGTAAGCTGTCGGCATAGGCTTTTCACAGCTCAGGAAGGTTAAAATCACCAGAATGCCTGCACATCATCATCCTCAACTATCAGGTCACCAGGCGTCTGAGTGGCTGATGGCTATTAGGTCAAACACAGATTCTAGAAATCGCATGTGGATCTGGTGTCCTATCCTAGAGCCTGCAAATAGCCCATAAGTACCCCTTACCCATTTTAGCATTCAGTAAGGCACAAGACCTTTTAGGAGACTTAAAAACATGTTTTGTCTTGGCCCTTTCATAATTTAGAAAATGAGTTTTATAAGGGCTGGGCGCAGTGGCTCACACCTGTAATTCCAGCACTTTGGGAGGCCACGGCGGGCAGATCATGAGGTCAGGAGATCGAGACCATCCTGGCTAATGTGGTGAAACCCATCTCTACTAAAAATACAAAAAATTAGCCGGGCGTGGTGGTACACGCCTGTAGTCCCAGCTATGAACTTGGGAGGCGGAGGTTGTAGTGAGCCAAGATCGCACCACTGCACTCTAGCCTGGGCAACAGAATGAGACTCCATCTCAAAAAAAAAAAAAAAAAAAGGAAAGAAAAGAAAAGAAAAGAAAATGACTTTTCTATTAAACAGCTTTACTATATTATAAACGTTATATTTAGATGGCATCTACAGGTTGGGGGAAGGCAGTACAAAGGAGATGAAAAGCAAATAAACTCGGCTGGGGATGGTGACTCACATCTGTAATCTCAGCACTTTGGGAGGCCGAGGTTGGAGGATCACTTGAGGTCAGGAGTTCGAGACCAGCCTGGGCAACGTGGTGAAACCCTGTCTCTTCAAAAAATACAAAAATTAGCTGAGCACAGTGGCATGTGCCTGTAGTCCCAGCTACTCAGGAGGCTGAGGCAGGAGAATTGCTTGAGCCCAAGAGATGGAGGTTGCAATGAGCTGTGATGGTGCCACTGCACTCCAGCCTGGGTGACAGAGCAAGACATTGTTTCAAAAAAAACAAAATTAAGTAAACCCTGTGAGTAAACACAGTTGAGGAAGGAACGCTTCAATCAGCATTGCAGGAAACGGCACAACATCACACACTTGAAAGTTCATTTTGAGAGATTAGGCCTCGTAACACCCACTGACACAAAGCACTTTCCCATTTGGTCTTCCCTGGATGACTCAGAAGCCACAACAAAGCCTTGTGGTACCCACAAAGTCTTCACCTATAATTTTGGAAGTCTTGGTACATAAAGATTTTGAATTTATAAAACAGCAGGTTCTAGAATTAACCAGGTCAATTTTTAGAGTAGATATTTAGAGACAAAAGGTATACTCATGCTCACCTAATTCCTTCTTTACTCTGTTTTCAGATGTCATTTATGGATCAAGTTGTTTCCACCAATTCCAGCACCAAAAAGTAATATCAAAGATCTCTTTGTAACTGCTAACTATGAGGTAATATTGAAAGTTCTTATGATATGCCATATGTGTCCAGGATTGAGTCCCCTGGGATCTGTCACTGGGTTTAGTTTTCTATATTACAAGGCAGGGCTTTTACTCAGAAGGCCACGAGCATTTCTGTTGCTTCAGTCATTCTGTTCTTTGGCTGATTCAGTTGTTTGTATTTTTTAAGAGATGGGGTCTTGCTATGTTGCCCAGGCTGGTCTCAAACACCTGGGTCTAAGCGATCCTCCCACCTCAGCCTCCCAAGTAGCTGGAACTACAGAAGCATGCCACCATGCCTGCTTGCCTGATTGTTTTATTATGCATGTTCATTATTGACATATTGGAAAGGTACTGAGTTACAAGTGTTCTTTCCAGTTAGTCTTAAATTTTAATTTCATATCAGCCATCCCTTAACTGACTTTGGACAATCTCTTCAACCCTATGAGTTTTGAATTTCTTTCTGGTATAATAAGGGACACAAATGAGATTGTACAATGCTCTGCTTAGCTCTAATGTTTTAAGACTCCATGTTTCCACGTGAGTATCTAAGTTAATAGAGAATTTTCAGAGGGAACTTTAGCTCTCTATAGAAGAGGCAAGTTATTTCACCCAATATGCATTTTCTTAGGTCTGTTCACCATTCAGAGCACTTAGGTTCAACCCAGTGGTCACTTACTTATGGCTATTCAATTGTTCCAGCATCATTTGTTGAAGTAAATAATCCTTTCCCCATTGACTTGTCTTGGCATTTCTGCTGGAAATTAGTTGCTATATATAGTTGGGTCTATTTCTGGAGTATCTGTTTGGTTTTATTGATCTATTTGTCTGTCTTTATGCTAATACAATACTGTCTTGATTACTGTAGCTTTATTGTAAACCATGAGACCATTTGTGTAAGGCCCAACATTTTTTAATAAGTTGTTTTGGCTATTCTAGATCCTCTGCATTTTCATATACATCTTAGATTCAGCTGATAATTTTCTACAAAAATAGGTAGCTGGGATTTGGGGTGATATTGTGTTGAGTTATAAGTTAATTTAGGGAAAAGTGACATCTTAATAATATGAAGTCTTCTTATCTATAAACATAGCATATCACTCCATTTATTTAGGCTTTCTTTAACTTCTCTCAGCAATGGTTTGTGATTCTTCAGTGTATAATTAATGCACTTTGTCAAATTTATCCTTAAAGTGAACAGTTATTTAGATCAGGGCTCAACACACTTTTTCTGTAAAGGGCCAGGTAGTAAATATTTGAGGGACAAATGGTTTCTGTTTCAACTCTTCAACTCTGCCATTGTAGTGTGAAAGTAGCCACAGAAAATGTGCTAATGAATGAGCGTGGCTGTGCTCCAGTAAAACTTCATTTATAAAAACAGGCAACAAGCCAGATTTGGCGCGCGGCTGTAGTTTGCCAATCCTTGATTTAGATCAAACAATTTTCTTAGTAAATTTAGGTTTCTCTCAAATGAAGTAACTCATGATTGGATGAACCACCTGGTGACTGGTTGTAGGGAAAATAAAGGGTTCATGGAAAAACTCACCAAAATGATTAATTTCAATACGTGGTGAACATTCCTTAGCATTTGCAGTTTGGGTATTGGAAGGATTTATAGACAGTTATAGTTACTAGCCGACTGAAGTAGAGAGTGGAGGCTGGCAAAAGAATCATTCTGCCCATGGTTGGATCCTTGTGTTCTCCTTTATCAGGGGAATGGCCCATCTGCTCTTGTTCACTGAGTTCTTTGGGAAGAAGAGTGGACCCCAAGGTGGAGCTTTGGTGCCGGTTCTGGATGTGTGCTGCCAGTCCCTCCTTGCTCTAGCACACTCACTCCTGAGTAAACACATCTGGTTTTGTGTGTTTGTTTGAGATTGAGTCTCGCTTTGTCACCCAAGCCGGAGTACAGTGGAGCCATCTCGGCTCACTGCAACCTCCGCCTCCTGGGTTTAAGTGATTCTCCTGCCTCAGCCTCCTGAGTAACTGGGATTACAGGTACCCGACACCACGCCCAGCTAATTTTTGTAGTTTTAGTAGAGACAGGGTTACACCATGTTGGCCAGGCTGGTCTTGAACTCCTGACCTCAGGTGATCCACCCGCCTCAGCCTCCCAAAGTGCTGGGATTACAGGTGTGAGCCACCGTACCCAGCCCACATCTAGTTTAAGCAGCCAAGTGAAGTCATTTGTCCCTGCCTCTTAATGGAACATCTTAATGCTGGTATCTAATTTCCCTACAGAGCCCTGAAAGATTTCCTTTAATATTCCAAAGTTGGTGAAATAAACTGGTTTAAGAGCTTATTGTATAAGGTTGTGATTTGTTGTTAATTAAAATCAAGTCAAGTGTATAAAATAACAACTTGAGGCAGACAAGCTGGTTTCAGAATAAGCAGAGGATGAATGGCAGCACTCAACAGTGCCTGGCTTCTCAGGACAACTTATTCTCTTCTCACATTGCAGAGTTTCACATAAAAACAAAGCAGTTAGAGACTGAGAGAAGAAAGAAAGAGCGCATAGAATGGGGGAAATGAAGTACAGCCTGGTGCTGTGGGCCCTATGGCCTAAATTCTTCACCGAGAGAGGATGAGAGCGAGTGCAGAGCTGACTACAGCTGGGCCCCATGAGGCCGTGCACAGCCTCCACCTCCAAGGACAAACCATCCAACCCATTCTCAGAGGCTGTGCTACAAGGGTGACAAGAGGGCACGCTGGTGCTATGGGTGGCCGCTGGGAAATGTTTGGCTAGTGGGAAAGGAAACCCTCTGCTTTTCATGGTCATGTGCACCTCTGAGCTTGGGGTGGGTGCCCAAAGTTCCAGGACTTAGAGGAGCTCTGCCATCCTAGAAGCAAGTTTTTGCTTGTTCAGACCTCAGTTAGAAACTTAGACCTCAGTTAGAAATTTAGACATCAGTGAAGCGCCGGGCTCAGTGGCTCGTGCCTGTAATCCCAGCACTTTGAGAGGCCATGATGGGCAGATCACTTGAACTCACAAGTTTGAAACCAGCCTGGCCAACATGGCAAAACCCCATCTCTACAAAAAATACAAAAATTACTCAGGCATGGTGGTGTACACCTGTAGTCCCAGCTACTCGGGAGGCTAGGTGGGAAGATGGCTTGAGCCCAGGAGGCAGAGGTTTCAGTGAGCTGAGATTGTGCCACTTCACTGCAGCTTGGGTGATGGAGTCAGAACTTGTCATAAATAAACAAACAAACAAACAAATGTACTGTGAAGGAAGAAAGTTGGCCTTTAGCAGTAAAAAAGAAAGGCTTATTCTAAAAAATCAAATCCTGAGCTTTCTGATAATTTACTTATTTAGATATTTTTTGTAGAGACAAGGTCTCACCAGGCTGGTCTCCAACTCCTGGGCTCAAGCTATGTGCCTGCTTCAGCCTCCCAAAGTGTTGGGATTATAGCCATGAGCCGCGGCGCCCGACCTGAGCTTTCAGTTTATGAGACTGGTTTCCAGGTGTTCCTTGTTTCTACAATGGCAACCAGAGAGGGTTCCTCCCCCAATTAGGTTGCCTGTAAACTATTAAAAGTAAAATGGATAAAAGCAGGAGCCATGCCTGCTGTGTCCATCAGTGAATTCCCAAGACACGGCACTGTGGCTAGTGTGGGGCAGGTAGTAAAAAATATGTTGGATGAGTAAATGAAGTAAAGGAATAGGATCTCTTACAGGCAATTTTATTTTTGTTACCAATTTTCCAATTATTATCAGCATTATTCATTATAGCCAAAATGGGTCAGAACTGTCCAAAGTTAGGGGGATACTACAGTAAATTATGGATGGAATTATGATGCAGCTATCAAAAGTGATGCCACCAAAGCACATTTAACAATGTAATTTATAATCAGTATGTCAGAGAGAAAGAAATCAATTTTTAAAGATGTGTATCCGGTCGGGCGTGGTGGCTCATGCCTGTAATCCCAGCATTTTGGGAGGCTGAGGCGGGGGGATCACAAGATCAAAAGTTCGAGACCAGCCTGGCCAACATGGTGAAACCCCTTTTCTACTAAAAATACGAAAATTAGCTGGGCATGGTGGCGTGTGCTTGTAGTCCCAGCTACTTGGGAGGCTGGGGCAGGAGGATTGCTTGAACCTGGGAGGTGGAGGTGGCAGTGAGCTGAGATCATGCCACTGCACTCCGGCCAGGGTGACAGAGTGAGACTCCAGCTAAAAAGAAAAGATGTGTATCCATATGACTTCAAGTTAGTCTAAAGAAAACATTATGCCTAGAAAGAAAGGCTTAGGAGAAGCAGTGGGCTGTGTTTGGGAGAAAGGTGTATGGCTAGGTATTTTCTTCTTTCCACTTTATTTTTCACATCTTCTTCAGTGAACATTTACTATTTTTATTTAAAAAATAATAGACTTAAAGCCAAGTGTAAAGATTTCAAAGAACCCAAAAGTTCTCTAAAAGACATCTAAGGAAAGATGATTTGTTTTGCAGAAAGCTGGTTCCGTTGAGACAGAAATTGAAGTCATCAGTTATATAGAGAAGCCTGGAGTTGAGACCCTGGAGGATTCTGTGTTTTGACTGCCACGGTGGCATCCTCTGATGAACTCACACACACATGCCTCAGTGAAAAGAAGAACAGGGATGCTGGTTCTTGGCTAAGAGGTGTTCAGAATTTATGGAATATTCAATTTAGCTGCGAAGCAATACACACAGACACATCAGTCTTATATCCCTTAAAAGTATGGATGCTTCATCAAAATCTCCTCGCCCACAGCAGGGAAGTTGATTCATCCAAGCATTTTGCCATGTTTTTTCTCACCACTCCGAACAGGGTAGCACCTCCTCACCTGCCGATCTTTGCAATTTGCTTGACTTACCTCAAACTTTTCTTGCACAAGAGACAGCTTTTAAGGCTAACGTTCAGCTATCTTTACTTCTGGCAGTGCCCGTTTGGTTGTTTAAGCTGCCAGTGGTAGCACTCAGCTACCATATGAGGAAGAAAGCATTTTGCACCAACTTAGAGTGAATCATGAACTTGGATTCAAGACTATCTTTTCTATAGCAAGTGAGAGCCACAAATTCCTCACCCCCCTACATTCTAGAATAATCGTTTTATAGGTAGAGAGAGAGAGAGAGAGTGTGTGTGTGTGTGTGTGTGTGAGAGAGAGAGAGAGAGAGAGAAATTATCTCAAGCTCCAGAGGCCTGATCCAGGATACATCATTTGAAACCAACTAATTTAAAAGCATAATAGAGCTAAGATATCACCCCATATTAAAAGAGAGGACAGGATTTCGTTCAAATATACATTCTTGAAGGAAGACTTAATATTCTGGAAATATGCTGAGAAAGTCATTGAGCATAATTCAATCATGAAAGGGATCACTGAATCAAGAAGGAACTTTCTGAAGAGATGTTTGCTGCCAAAGGCTTCAGAGCACCTCAAGTAATGCCAAGTCAATCCTAGTCTCTCAAGTTTGGAAAGGTTTCTACAAGGCCATCCCATCAAATATCCCAATCTATACAGAAGTTCTTCTTCCTAACATCTTCACATATGAGTCTGCATCCAGATTGGAGGCCTTTGTGATGGGTGATGAACTACAGGTGGAACCAAGTACAGGTGTGTCCTGGGCAGAGATGGGCCAGAGAAAGGAACCCAAACAGTGCTGATTCTACATGGCCCTGGGTCAGGAAGCTGAAGGCTGAGAAAGGAGGTAACAGTGCCCAGAATTCCCACATGGCACACTCTTTAAATGCTTTCTGGAGCTGTTTTAGTCAGTTTTGATCCATCAGTGGGGACACATTGATCACCATATATTTCCAGGTTTGTTTTCTTAACTAACCTATAATTATCCACTATAACTAGCAGAGGGTTGAACCCTGGGTAATAACCTATAATTATCCACTATAACTAGCAGAGGGTTGAACCCTGGGTAATAGGCACAGAGACATCTTAAATCTTGACAAGCCTGAACGGTCTTATAGTGATCTGTATTACTGTTCCATTTTATAGTTGCAGTTACTAAGGTTCGGAGAAGTTGATAGGAAATGGCATAGTGAGGAGTTGAATACCAGGCTCAGGGGAAAGTGACCCCAGAAATGTGGGGAGGAGTGTCAGGGAAAGTTGAGGCCTGCTTAGGGGTGTGGCTGAGAAGGCAAGGCCCATGGAGGTGGTGCAATAATTGGCAAAATGTTTAAAATGTTTGGTCACTCGAATGATTCAGAATCTCAGACCTGCTTTTGTTGTTGTTGTTGTTGTTGTTGTTGTTGTTGGGGGTGGGTGGAGACAATCTTGCTCTGTCACCTAGGCTAGAGTGTTGTGATGTGATCTGAGCTCACTGCAACCTCCCTCTCCTGGGCTCAAGCCATCCTCCTCCTTCAGCCTCCCAAGTAGCTGGGACTACAGGCGCATACCACCATGCCCAGCTAATTTTTGTATTTTTTTTGTAGAGATGGGGTTTTGCCATGCTGTCTAGGTTGGTCTCAAACTCCTGGGCTCAAGCGATACACCAGCCTCGGCCTTCCAAAGTATTCGGATTACAGGCATGAGCCACCATACCTGGCCAGGAAACTGTATTTTTAATGAACACCTTAGGTCAGAATCAGAGGCACATGGAGGGCTCATTAAGTCACAGAGGAGCAGGCTCCATTCTTCGAGTCTCTAATTGAATAGGTCTGGGTGGGGTCTGATTTCTGCACTTCTAACAAGTTTTCAGGTGATGCCAATGCTGCTGGTCTCTAGAACACACTCGGAGAACTGCTGCACCGGGAGAGTCTTATGAACACCAAAATTTGAAAATCAGCAGCTGAAGGAAGAAGTGACAGAAAAGGCCTGTCCCCAGAAAACTGTCCTTTTGGGGAGGCTTGAAGCACCCTGTCTGATCTCTTTCAAACCAGAACCTAGACAGTCGGCATTGTGGATGCTGCCTCTGCTTAGGAGGCAGGAACAGAAGCAGGGAGCTCCCCCCGACAAAGGTGGCCAGCTCTTCAGTGCTTGGTGTGATGCTCGCTTCAGAGACTGCTCCCTCCAACTCAGCAGCCGTAGATCACCTGCGCTCTGTGCAGCTCCTTGCCACACTTCCCTGAGCTGGTACCATTATCTGGCCCTTGGTATATGTGTTTCAGGAGCAACACGAAGTAGCCCATGTGGCCTCCTTGGTGGATTGGGAACTTCTTCCTCCCTTCTTGCCTTGTAGAACTCATAGTCATTCTTTGGGAACCCATAATCATCATCACTTCTTCCATGAAGCCTTCAAAAGTAGAGTTTGTTGATCCCACCTCTGGATTCTCATTCTGGGCCTCATCCAGAATGAGAACACCGCCATGTTGGAGCTACTGCATTGCAAGATATACCATTAACAGCTGGGAGGCCTCCCCTCTAGACTGCGAGTTCCAGGAGGATGGAGCTTGTGTGAAATATGTCTTTTTATCTGCGGTGTCTAGGACACTATCTGACCTAAGAAAATATAAATGTTTCTTAAGCCCTCTGTGGGCACCTTGTATATAGGTTAGACTGAACAGTATTTGGCAGAGATCCTCAAGGCCTACAATAATAACATGGGGAGGAAGCTGGGTGTCTATCGACAATGTGGTTAGAAGCAACCAGGAGACACATGTGCCTAACCATTGAGCTCCTATGACCTGGATGTTTTTGCTGCCAAAGTGTCTAAATGGTTATGTATAAATTGCTGTGTAAGAGGCGTTTCAGAAGTGGCTCATTTTGAGTGGTCTATACTGTTCTCACTAGCCTTGTCATGGCAAGTCAAAGAGTTTGAAATTCACTTAACAGTAAACACCATTAGCGACAGGTTGATGTAAGGTAAAGTCATGATATCGGCTCCCATCTCTTGCCATCTCCCACTAGGACAGGGTAGAGAGTCACTTTTCCCCTAGAGCCTCCACGGCTACAGAATCAGAACAAACACGCTTTTCCAAGACATCCGTTCCAATAGGGATTTTAGCCCAATTTCTTTCCTTGGCATTTGGAATTCACTGCGTGCAGCATGGGGGAGTGCTGGAGAGACTGGAGGGTGAAGGTCATGTTTGCCAGTAGCCAGACCACCTGAGCCTCATTGAAATGCCTCAGACCTCAAGCTATTCATGCAGGCTGGGGAAGAATCCATGTGGGCAAAGAACATCCTGATTAAAAATGCAAACGTTTTCATGGTGAGACTTATATGTGTCAGGACCATCTGCTGGTGGAATTAATAAGCCTTAGGTGCTAATTTGTTAAAGAAAAAGTAGATATCTGGAAGTGAGAACAGAGAACTGAAAACAATCTCTGATGGCACGAGTAAAGGTGAAAAACCTAATTAGAATAGGACTTGGTGCTAGCCTAAGGACTGTAGCTATTCCTGCTTCTACATCCTTCAAATTGAGTACCAGGGTGCAAAGTTTTTGAAAACCATTTCTTTCTTTGGAATTTTGTATTGTACTAAAAGACAATTTTGTTTATTTCCTGTTTTGTAGGTAATAGATGTGAATATAAATATTTCAAAATGAGAACTATTAAACATAAATGACAGTGAATTGTCTAAGTCTGCAATTAAAGAGGAGTGGGTACATTTCTCATTTTTCCCCTATATTCCCCTTCTCGGTCCCCACTATTGTCTTCCTCCATCTCTCAGCTAGGACTAGTACAGTAGCCTCTGAACTGAACTCATGGCCTCCAGTATTTCCTCCCTTTGAAGGATCAATGTAAAAGGCACATCTGCCTACATAACTCCCCATCATCTTCAAGTTAAAGCTAAAGTCCACTATGACTCAACTCCTTACTAGCTCTCCAGCCACACACCCAAATACTCCTACCTCAGTTTTCACCAACGTGCTGATTATTTCCCTGTAGCTCCATGCTATTGCATCACTCCATGCCTCTGCCAAAACTTTCTCTGGTGGAAAAAGCTTTTCAACCTCTTTTCGTTTTGTTGACACTTTGATTTATCTTCTAAGTCTCGACTCTTTGCCACGTGAAAGTCTTTGCTCACCTTCCAGTTTGAATTAAGTGTCCCTCTGTTTAATTCTATCAGTGATTGGACTCTTTTTATTTTTTATTTTATTTTATTTTTTTTGAGATGGAGTCTGGCTCTGTCACCCAGGCTGGAGTACAGCCGCACCATCTCGGTTCACTGCAAGCTCCTGCCTCAGCCTCCCATGTAGCTGGGACTACAGGCGCGTGCCACCACACCCGGCTAATTTTTATATTTTTAGTAGAGACGGGTTTTCACCATGCTGGCCAGGATGGTCTCGATTTATTGACCTCGTCATCCACCCGCCTCGGCCTCCCAAAGTGCTGGGATTACAGGCGTGAGCCACTGCGCCTGGCTTGGACTCTTTAACAATCCTCTGTCTCATTTCCAGTGTAAACACTCTGAGGTCAACAGCAGTGTCTGCTTTATCTTTGTCTCCATAAGCCCCAAGTAGGAACCGACTGCTGGTTGAGTCTAACCAGATCAAGGAAAAGGAAGTGAGCTTATTAAATGTTTGTCAGATAGAAAACAATATAGATTCTAAATAAGTTCTAATGGCAGGTTCATTTATTAATGTGTGGTTATAGCAGAAGTTAAATCGTCACTGGAGCTTAAATTAATGAAGTAATAAAAACTCACAGTTTGTGTGATGCTCGTCTCAGAAACGCTGCCCTCCATCCACCTCAGCTGCTACCAAACACCTGGACTCCTCCGCGCTCCCTGCGCACCTCCCAGCCAGCACCACCCACCATTTGGCTCTCAGTAGACATCTGCGTTGGTTGTCAGGAGCAACACAAAGCCGCCCATATGGCCCATGTGCGTGATTTTAAAGTTCTAGCGGACTCTTTTCAACGTGAAGGTGTCTTATTAGGTTTGTTTCATTTATTAAAATTAAAAGCAAAGATTTGTCCCTGCCAAGTAATAAACTGAAAGAACACATAAACCCGAAAGGAAAATTGCAAGAACGAAATCAACAATAAAGTACTGCTGTCGTAGTTTAAAGGTCGGCAAGCTGCTGCTGCCCTTTTTTTTTTTTTTTTAAGGCGGGGTCTCCTGTCTCACCCAGGCTGGAAAGGCCGGAGTGCAGTGCCGTGATCACGGTTCACTCCAGCCTCGACCTCCTGGGCTCAAGTGATCCTCCCACGTCAGCCTCTCGAGTAGCTCGGACCACATGGGTGTGCCACCATGCCCAGCTAATTTATAAAATTTTTTTGTAGACACAGGGTCTCCCATGTTGCTCAGGCTGGTCTTGAACTACTGAGCTAAATCGATCATCCAGCCTTGGCCTCCCAAAATGTTGGGATTACAGGCATGAGCCACTCTCCTTGGTCAGCAAACATCTTCTTAAAGGACTAGATAGTAAATATTTTCAGCTTTGAAGACCATATGGTCTTTGAGGCAGATACTCAGTTCTGCCATGATAGCACAGAAGTGGCCATCAGCAGTATATCAATCAGTGTGGCTATGTTGCAATAAATCTTTATTTACAAAAACAGCAGGCAATAAGCTAGATTTTCCCAGAAGGCCATTATTTACACATGGCTTCATGTATTCAAAATATGTGTAAATGTGTTTTCATTTTTTTTTTTTTAAGAAAAACAACCAATTTGAGAAAATAACAATCACGTTTGATCAAATAAAAATCATCACGGGGGATCAATGGTAAAAAAAAAATGTGTTTGACTGAACTTAACCTCATTATAAGTAGGTTTTGCAAGAAACACCGGTCCAGCATTCTGTTCATACTTTTATCTGTCACACTATTCACAACATCCTTTAATAAGTGTATTTCTGTCTCCTTCAGTGAACCAGGAGGGAAGCCTTAACCCTATTTATCTCAGTTTCTCCAGTGCCCAGCAAGTGCTTGACACACAGTATGCAACTCAATATCTTATTTCTTAACCACTAAATTCAAGAGGAACAACCGGGCCAATTCTAACTGCCAGTTATTTGGTCTTGGATATTTGGTTCTAACATTGTAGTTGATAAATGATGCATCCACTACATAGTTTTCCAACTAGCTGTGCTGTGGCTTATGTTCTTGGCAACAGGCCCATTTTTTTTAACCCTTCAGAATATTTCTGGAATCCCTTCCACCTGCTTTAACACCTTCTTGCCACGTAACGTGGGCCTTTGCTGGGGAAAGATTCCCTTGTCTTAAAACTCTTTTCTGGGCTGGGTGCGGTGCCTCACGCCTGTAATCCCAGCACTTTGGGAGGCTGAGGCGGGTGGATCACCTGAAAGCAGGAGTTCGAGATCAGTCTGACCAACATGGAGAAACCCGTCTCTATTAAAAATACAAAATTAGC